CGCCTTCAACAGTGCGTCCCAGGCCGCCGCACCGTTGCCCGCCGGCCCTTGCTGGACGACAGCCAGTGCCCGCGGATTTGTCGGCGGTTGCCCATCATTGGTGCCCATCAGTGCGTCTATCAGCTGCGCGTGCAGATGAGCATTGTCCGCGTCGTACTGCACCGTGCCGTAGATGGCTCGCCCGGCCTGACGGCCGCTTTTGTCGAGCAGGTAGCCGATCTTGGCCGCGTAGCACTTGCTCTGCACCTCAAACGCGAACGTGGGGAAGCCAGCCTGGTCGCCAGTGAAGGTATGAAGCTTGAGCTTCTTACGCTCCACCACCGACTCCGCTGCTTTCTTCGTCACCACGCCCGTCAGGGTCAGATTGCTAGCCGTATGACCGGCCTGCTGCGGCTCATGCTGGTTGAGGTAGGCACCGATGGTTGACGAGAGGGCAGCAGCACGCTCCTCCTCCGACACCATCACCGCATCGCCGTTTCCAGCATTGTTACCGTCACCTTGGCCTGGCTGGCCAGCCTCACCGCCAGCCTCACCGCCATTTGGTGCTGCTCCAGCGTTTCCGTCGCCGTTCGGCGGGATCTGTGGAGATCCCTCACCGCCTCCGACACCTGCGCCTTGTCCGCCCATCACGCCTTCCTGCTCTGCAGGATTGGTGCCTCCAGCGGGCGTGTCAGTGTCCATGGCTAAGATCTGGCTGAGATCTACCGCTTGTGTGCCGTCTCCCCGCAGGAGTAGCCACGTGGGCTCATAACCAGTTGCGTAACGCAGTGGTCAAGCGAGATATCGGCTAACGCACACCAAGCACAGGAGCCTTCATGGGCGCAGCAAGAGGTTGGGCTCAGCAAGAGGTTGGGCTCATAACCAGTTGCGTAACGCAGTGGTCAAGCGAGATATCGGCTAACGCACACCAAGCACAGGAGCCTTCACGGAACACGCAAGAGTCTTTTACACGTGAAGCAGTGATCGCCCTAACGCTGATTGGGCGGATCTATGGATCATCTTAGGCGACGGGCCTACATGTGCTCCCTGTACAGGCGCCTCTGTCCAGCTGTGAGCGTATACATTCCGCAACAGGGAGAATGCACAGCAGCGTGTAGGCAGGCACCAATAGCTCCTCGTCAGCGCATCTCACCGCGTTGGCGCGGGCGGCGCGAATAGCGAACTCCCGACGGGCGACCCATTTGTTGATCGTGGGGATCTGCCCTTGCATGAATGGGCTGATGTCTCAAGTCGCGAGCTGGTGGAGGGCGGCCACAGGCAGGGGGTACCGGCTGCCGTTCTCGTCCTCATCCTCGTCCCCGTCCCCCCCTCCGTCCATGTCCGCATCCCCGTCGTTGCCATCGGACGTCCCTGCGTGCCCAGATCCGGCACTAGCCGCGTTGGCCGGTCCAGCGGCTGCCGCAGCAGGGCCGTGGCCGGTGAACGAGCCCCCTGCCGCCGCCGGCTCCGCTGCGCTGGCCGCTGTCGAGTTGGGCTGTAGTTTGCGCAGGTGTGCCCGGAGGACGAGACTGGGAGCGACGGGATGGGCGCGGGTGAGGACTCCCGGCAGGACCGGATGCGCGGCGGGAGAGGGCAGTGCGGGAGCCGTTCGAGCCGCGGGTGAGCGGCCGGCGGAGGTCCGGTGGGGGGGAAGGAGAGCCGAAGCGCTTCCGGAGGCGTTCCCGCTGTCTCCATTGGTCGCGGAAGAGGGCGCTGGGGGTGGGCAGGCGTTCCAGAGGGGCGGCCTCCACCGGCGACTCGTCGAGGGACTCGTCCGATGACTCCCCTGCTGAGGGTGTGGCGGTGGCGGTGGCGGCGGGGTAGGAGGGCACCGCCGCCGCTGATTGGGCGGCCGGCGCCCTGGAAAGCCCTAGGACGCGTCGAAGTCGCCCCCCGACCGGATCGGGCGACCCCTCTTGCCCCGTTGGCACCGCCGTTTCCGCTTCGGCGACGACCCGGGGTCGGATGAGTACTCGAGCGACTCGGCGATGCCGATCAGTAGCGGCGAGTAGGCCGCCTTCACCGCCTCCCGCATGGCGGGGTCGCCGAATGCCTGCCGGGTGAGGTTGTCGAGCGCCGTGCGCGCCGCTTCCACTCCTTCCGACCACCGAATCATCATGAACGCCACGTGGAAGGTCTGCGCGCGGGAGTCATCCACGCCGTGGGAGGCCCAGGCAGAAAGGAAGGACTGGTGACGAGTGACGAGCACGAGGTGACGAGCGCGAGGGGCTGACTGGGAGTCCTCCGGTTGCGAGAGTGGCTGCATGGCCGAGTCGGGAGGATCTCCCGGTGGAGGATGGGCGGGCGGCACTCTTGTCGCCATCCCGCCCGGGTCCTGGAGCAGGGCAGGACCGCTCGGATGGGTGGGAGAAGTCGGATCTATCGTCCGGAAGGAGAGCAGCCGGGAACCTCGAACTGTCAGCGGCACGTCCTTGCCCTTAGAGATGAGGTACAAGGGAGGTCCGTTCAGCGGCCGAACTCAGAGATCTCAGCGTTCAAAAGGCTGATCTGCGAAAGAAAAACGTGGAACCGGGAGGGCGAGAACTTTCTTCTCCCTGCGGATCGAGGAGAAGCACATGAAGGTGTTCATGTAGCTTGGCGTGTGATTGTCAAAAGCACTTATGAAACATTTGTCTTCCCCCCCCGTCGAAACCGGTGATGCCCGGAAGTTGAAGTCCCAGTACGACATAAGGGACATCCATGCGTGTGCGTTCACGGACATCCATGCTGCATATCCATGCATGTGCGTCCACTCACAATCATAATGCCATCCGATCCGATAGTAGTGTATCGTAATGTATTACAGGCAGCAATAAACTACGGTCCGATGTCCATGCTCCAGAGGTCGTGTAACTTGTACGTGTCCGTCACGAGCTCCCTGCCTGGCGGTATTGTGCCCGGGTAGTCCTTTGGCACCATAAACGTGACCTCCGAATGAGAAGAATCGGCCTCAGAAAAAACCTCTCGAAGAGAGTCAAAACGTCTGTCGTCCGGTATCCACATATCGTCGTTTCGGTGACCACCCGGCCGTTCTGTTGTATCAATGACCACGTTGGCGACTGCTCCTGCAGGAGCGACGTTGACTAGACATAACGGCTCGATCTCTGGGCTCGTATATAGAAACGCACCATGTCGAGCTCTTGGATCCATCCCCTTTGCGATGACCTCAAATGCATAAAACGTGTATGGCACTGTCACCTGGCCCCGCCGCTGCTTGAAACCCCGTCTCAGATACTGGAGACACTTCTCACGAATAACCGAACCGCTCAAGCCGCCAGGCAGAAGAACGCCCTTGATACCTCGGAATGACTCGGCTGCGCGAAGTGGTGAAACAGACGTAATGCCTCGGCCAGCCCCGGGAATCTTTGAGTCGATGACCCGAAGGTGCTGCTCTCTGAGACTCTCGACGGCCCGTGAGTGATATAGTGGGTATCCTCTGAGCAGCTTGGATTCCCCGACATCGACATCAGCAGTCTCCCATGCAGCAGCAGCATAGCGTCGACGACCGTCTTGTCTTGCATCCACGGGATCGTTCGACGCGGCTGCGCGAGCGGCTTCATAAGCCTCCTCCATGCGGTCAGTGATCTCGTGACGCTTGGTGCGCTGCGCTGCCCGATACTTCTTCTCCATAAACTTATCGGTACGCTGGACGAACTCATGCGTAGCATCCAAGCGCTTCAGGACGTTATACTGACGGCGATCTGATTCATCCAGCGCAGCCACAAATGTCTTCCGCTTGAGGCTGCTAGTCACTGTCCCCTTGGCACGTCCAAGAGTGTAGTCAGCCGGGTTCGTCGCGCGGGTGGTCTTTTTAATGACGCCGTCCCGTGGCGCACGAGGCTCTTTGTCAGCTCGAAAGACATGCTGAGCTCTTTTTTTCTTTGCCTTCTTCTCGTGCATCATCTGACTCCATGCTTGGCGCCGCAGTCCCTCTGTCTTCTCTCCTTCT